TGCTGTGTCAATGTTAGGGTGCTGGTGTTAGGGTGCTGTGTGAGTGTTAGGGTGCTGTGTGTATGTTAGGGTGCTGTGTCAATGTTAGGGTGCTGGTGTTAGGGTGCTGTGTGTGTTAGGGTGTTGTGTGTATGTTAGGGTGCTGTGTCAATGTTAGGGTGCTGTGTCAATGTTAGGGTGCTGGTGTTAGGGTGCTGTGTGTGTTAGGGTGCTGTGTATGTGTTAGGGTGCTGGGTGAGGGTGATGTGTGTGTTTGCAAGGATTTTGTATTGGGGGGAGGCAGGTAGGTGTTTTACTAAAAAATAATAGTAATAAATACATAATAATAAATACATAATAATACATACTAATAAATACATACTAATAAATAATACTAATAAATAATAATAATAAATACAAATAATAAATACATAATAATAAATACATAATAATGCATACTAATAAATACATACTAATAAATAATAATAATAAATACAAATAATAAATACATAATAATAAATACATAATAATACATACTAATAAATAATAATTACATACTAATAAATACATACTAATAAATAATAATTACATAATAATAAATACATTATATTAACCCCCCCTCTATTCTTACCTGTAGTCTGGAAGGGGGGGGGGGAGGGGTCATGCTCCTGCCAGCCATCCCTGGTGGTCCTCGTGGTAAGTGAACTCTAGCCCTTTGGGGCTAGAGTTCATTCTCGCGAGACCCTGCCGGTTGCCATAGCAACGGTCCGGATCTCGCGAGAGAAACCCGGCAGAGCTGCAACTTAGAGCTCCGCCGGGTCCTCTCTCCTGGCGGCTGTCTCCCTCCCTCTCTCCCTGCCGGCGGTCGCGTTTGAGCACATGTGGGCCGGTGAGGGAGATCTTTGATCTCCCCACCGGCCCTCCATGGCAAACAGCAGGGCCGGTTCTCGGATAGCACCGGCCCTGCATAGACCGGCAGGGGAGATCCTGGGACCTCCCCTGCCGGCCTCGGCCCATGGCCACCGCGGCCCAACGGGATGGCCAGTCCGGGCCTGCCCCCAACCCAGCATCAATTAGCCTAGTGAAATGCAGAGCACCCAGCATGCCAAGGCTTCACTGTTGCCAACTCCCGAGGAGGGGAAACGTGGGAGGGAGTTTTTTTGCTTTCCTTTTACTTGCTAACACTGGACGCAAGTCACGGGTGTAGGGACCATACTAATACTAATCTTTAATAATTATCAAAAGTTTAAATACACAACCCGGATGGACACAGGGGGAACCGGACACGCATAACCGACCTGGTAAAGAGGTTACCCCTTTGTGGAATCCATATAGTTATTTAGAAATAACGATATGCCATTTCTATTCTTTCTTGGATATATTTTATTTTCAAATATTGCATTATGCTGTGCGAGCAATGACATATATTCTGCTCCAAATGTAACTGTTCCTATAACGTGACAAACCAATTGATGATCCGCCTCAATGGCCCGGGTGGCAAGCCAACCTGGTAAAGAGGTTGCCACTCTATGGAATCCCTATACAGAGTTATATAAAAATAATGTCATGCCAATTTGTATTCTTTCTCTGTGATATTTTCTTTTCAAATATTGTATTGTGCAGGGTGAGCAGTGACGTATACACTGATCCAAACTAAATAGCTCCTATCACATGACAAAACAATTGATGATCCACTGCGGCTAACTGGGTGGCATACCCGAGCATAAACACTCCATTTACACTGCCAAGATATGGCCAAGGCTGTACTCGGGGAGGGGACCACCATTCTGTCTAGTTCACCCTCCTATATAACATCTGACTAACCCACCTCATCTGACCTACTGATCTCCACCACCACCTCAGAGAATATTCCCCCCACCGGACTGGAGATACCTACACCCGGTGCTAACTGGACCAGAGCAGACATAATTCTTCTACAGGAAACCCACTTCTTCCAAGCCAAATTTTTTGTCAATGCACATCCCTAGTGCTAGTGCACTGGGCTTAACATGATATGGCCATATGGTGGAACTGAATCCCCATATTTGTTTGCAGATGTGATTTTAAGTAACCTTTTAAAATTTTAATCTGTACTTTTGTAAGTGTTTTGGGGGCCTATTTTGGGTGTTCCTGACCCTAGCATTGCAACTGGTAAATCTAACCTCATTGTAATCGAATCTCCATCAGTGTCATTCTTTCTCTATTTGCATTGTTGTGAAATTTATATTGCAATATTTTACACAGTCTGAAATGTTAGTATAAAGGCAAAAATGCTATTTTCTTCACATACCACACATGTGAAAAAAAATATATAAACAGAAATGGTCAACTAAAGGTATTTGCATGAACACTGAAGGCATTACTAGCAGTAAAGATTACTAAAAGCATGTAAAAAAGAATGTCCACATTTATGCCTAATGCACACATATGAAAAAAACAGTTAAATCATAGCAAAAAGGACAGGAAATAGAACTCTGAAATTGGTATAAATAGACCTTCCCTTCCCATCAGCCAGTCTTTTTCCGGTCCTTGACAGTAGTTTGGAAGGAGTCTGCTTAAGCAGGCCTAGCTTTTTCTTTTATTCTCACCAGGTAATATTTTTGCAGCTCTGCCAGGGTCCAGCCTCTAAGCCCTGAGAACCCAGCAACAGCACAGTTGTTAGAGTGGCCAAAATGGGACCGGGGGGCAAACCCAATCTGTCCCTCAGGGGATGAAAGTGGTCCATTGTATACATGCCAGGCTTCAGACTCTTATCCCTGAAGACCCAGCAACAACACATTTTTATGCGTTGCCAGCCTGGGTTACCCCTTTAGTGCCCGTGGGTCTGACCTAATTCCCTTCCTCAGGAGAGGAGAGCAATCCACGGCATACATAAAGCCATGCCAGGGTTCAGCAAAAAGCACATCTGTAAGAGTTGTCAGCCTGGGAACCTCCTTCAGTGACTAGGGGTCTGACCTAACATTCTCCCTAAGGGAATGACAGTGGTCCACTGCATACATGAAGCCCAGCTAAGGCCCAGTAAACAGCACTTCCATAAGATGACTACCTGGGTATGCCTCTTTTATGTATACCACCGTATCTGAGGTCTGTTTTAAACCTTCTCCACTGATGAATGGCATATTGGGTATAGATGGAAGCCTACAGTTTGAACAGTTTAGGCTGACAGCTGTTCAAATCCCTATTTGCTGATGAAAAACAAGCCTGCAGCTGTTCAGGTAAGTGCATTAGTAATTTAGATTAAAGCTGGTATACACACCTGGGTTTCAGTTCTTTCAGTCCCTCCCAGTTGGCTTCCTTCTAACAAATAGGTCACATTTAGGAAGTTTGTGTGGGGAGCATTTAAGTAAGTTTATACAGCAAGGATGCATTGTGCAAAAGAGTGCAGATAATGCAAGGAGGCATTGTGCAAACAAGTGCTTATAATGGATTTCCTGGCTGTATAAAGTCTGCCTGAATTCCACAGTCCTGAAGACAGAAAAGAGGCCAATACCCAAGTTAAGAGAACTTCCCTGGGTGGCTGATTGAAGTACACTCCTGTATATAACCCAACTCTAAGTCCACACAGACACGTTTCCATCAAGGCATGTGGCATTGATTGCTGTTATCTGTGCATTATAGTTAATAAGCCTTTTTTTTCAGAGGGTGGAAGAAAACATATTGTTTGAATCTTCTTGCTTATCTATATCAGCATATGAGACCAAGATATTATTTCTGTATGAACTGGTGTAAAGGCACAGCCTCAGTATATGTACATGAACTGGTTTGAAACACAACATTAGTATATTTCCACAATATGCTCTATGTATGAGTTATTGTGAAAACACAGCCTCAGTAAACATCATCTACATGATCTATATGTAAGTTGGTATGAAGTCCCTGCTTCAGTATCTGTGTCCACATAATAGTATACTAGTGTGGAAACACAATCATATATGTGAATGATATAAGACACATTCTCTATATATAAGTGCAATATATAATATGTATGAGCTGTTTTGAGTACACTATAAGACCACTTCATTTGGTCTTGGTGCCAGGTCCCACTATTTTTTTTAGTTTGAAAAATTTGCACTGCCGCTTCAGAGACAAAGCAGTGGGTTTTTTTCAATCATATTTCCACCTCCAGTGGCTGTCTCTGAGACAGCCACTAGATGGTGCTTTCGAGATACTCAATGCTAAAATCACAGTGAACTGATGTTATAAGTCCTCATTCATCATGAGGATGTTTAACGTTATTCATTTGTAATGCAATTTGTAATGGAATCAGTTGGGAGCTATTGACAGTTTAATTGATACGCTTTTATGAAGAAGTGGGATTTTCATGATTTAATGATGAGACTGGGTGAGCATCTAACAGATGAGGGAAGCGAGTTCCACAGGAACGGTGCAGCCCTCGAGAAGTCTTGCAGGTGAGCATCAGAGTTCACATCTTGGTTGGATTCCTTAGAGGCCAGTGTGAGAGAGAGAATATCTCACTGAATATTACTGCCTGCTGTAGAAGATTTTGCCTAAAGCAATCTGCTGAAGAGGATCTTCCTCACTTTAACAGTAAGTACCGTTTTATTATATATATATTTTTAATGTCTTTCTTTAATACATGTAATCTATTATAAATGTTTTTATTTTATTTATTATTAATTTATATAATCTTTAATTCATTTTTTTACTTTTTTTAATAAAATTGATCGATTTGTTTATATATGACCTATGTAATTGATTTATTATTTTAAATATTTTTTAACATTTTTGTATTGAATTCTATATATATATGTGTGTGTATATATACACACACACACACACACACACACCTATATATAGAATTCAATAAAAAAAATTAAAACAATACATATCTAAAAAAATACATATCTACACACACACACATATATATATATATATATGCATATATTTTTTAAATTTTTGTATTGAATTCTATATATGTGTATGTGTGTATATATATATATATACACACATATACACACACACATATATATAGTTTACATGTGTGTATGTGTATATATATATATATATATATAGTTTACATGTGTGTATGTGTGTGTGTGTGTGTGTGTATAAATATATATACACACACACACACACACACACATAGAATTCAATATAAAAATGTTAAAAAAATATTTATATATATATATATATTTGTGTGTGTGTGTAGATATGTATTTTTTAGATATGTATTGATTTTCATCATTTATATGTATTTTTAATGTTTTCATTGTGTTTTTTTTTTACTTATTAGTATATGTAGATGTAAGCATGAAACAATATAACATACATTTTTTGAAATTATTTTCCAATTGTAGCATCATAACCACTACATTACATGCATACGTACAGACGTACGTACTTATGTATATATTTATTTATTTTTTTATTATTGTTTAATTATATATAAAAACATTATGAAATTAAATTAAAAAAATATTTCTCTTTCAATTGTAGAATGTAGTTATTGGAATCCTTAAAAAGCACAATAGCATATGGTACAATTTGAAACTGGTTAAGGTAAGCTTAAGGTAAGCTTATTTTGATTTGTCTATATTGTGGTGGAAAGTTGGCGTGTCTCTATTTGTCTTATTGTATGCTTATACATATAGGAGAAATAGATGTCCACGCAAAAATATGTTCTGTTGCCAACTCCATTTATATCTTTCCACAGTTTCACTGTTGCTCAGCACGTGAAAAGTGCTGCCCATAATTTTCTCTTTTCCTTTTTGGGGGCTGCCTTTTTTTCCCTACTGATTCTGTTGGTTTTTTTTGGACTGTTCTCTTGTGTTTTCTAGCAGTATGGCCCATTTTTGTAGGCCATTCTTTTAGCGCAAGAAAAGAGCTGGCCATCATCTTGTGCTTCAGGCTCTTCTCCTGTGCTTTCCTTGAGGGCAGACACAAAATGGCTGTGGTGCTGAATTCCTTTGTCTATTTCCACAGTTTCACTGTTGCTCAGCACGTGAAAAGTGATGCCCAAAATTGTATCTTTTCCTTTTTTGATTTTTTTTTTTTAAATGTTATATTAATTATTATTTTGTTTATATTTTCATAGAATCAGCATCACGTATTCCTTGATCACGGTAGGCAATTTTGATGTAGTTTACATTTATTTAAATTTAAGCAATATTATTTAACATAGCACTATACGGTTATGAATACATATATGTATAACTAACGCTACAGTGCCCTAATATACATTTAGGTGACTACAGACCCCCCTCACGCTGTCACTTAAAGGTTTATTCAAACCTTTTTAGCATAACCTTTTTCCAGCGCAGGGCTACCTCAGCACTGGTCTCCCCCATTCCTACCGTCATGTCATCCTGCAGGGTGTGCCAAATGTGCCTGCATGTCCAGTGCCACGCACTGATTAAACATACCCCATAAGAAAGCATTGCTCAATGCTTTCCTATGGGGAACTTATCTGACGTGGGGAACTTATCTGATGTTGGAATCCGTGAGGACGTCCAACGTCAGATAAGTGCTATGTACTCCATGTAAATCTTAGAAGCTCCTCTACTGGCTGTTATGTAGATGTATGTTATCAGTTTTCTATAAACCTTTCCTCATGACTATAATACAGTCCTGGTTTTGTCAGTATCTTCATTGGAGTAGAATATGTAAGTACATAAATCGTGGACTTTTTAAGGCACACGAGGACTTGTTTGGGATCCACTAATGTAGAGTTTAAAGATTACATTTTGTCATTTAAATCTTTTCTGCATGGTTATGCTTTGTGCAATGCATAATAAATTATGAGATTTAAATGGCACTCCGCAATATAAAAATATGTTGTTCAAATTTAATTGACAAAAAAATAAGTAAATTATAATATTTTCCAAACTTATATTTTCAACATTTTGAATTTATAAAAATGATTATAGTGTGTGTCAGAATCTACAATGTAAAAATTATTTAGTTTTTAATTAACAGAGAAGTGATAGTCGCAAACTATAACACTACATTTTTTTTTGTCATTCCTTTTTTTTTTTTTCTTTAAACATGGACACAGTGCCAAAATTTATATTTTAGGCTGCAGAAACAGTCATTCTAAACATTCTGATGATTGCTCTATCTTTAATTTTCCAAGTTACATAGTTACATAGTTACATAGCTGAAAAGAGACTTGCGTCCATCAAGTTCAGCCTTCCTCACATATGTTTTTGCTGGTGATCCAAAAAAAGGCAAAAAACCCAGTCTGAAGCGCTCCAATTTTGCCACAAACTAGGAAAAAAATCCTTCTTTACCCCAAAATAGCAGTCAGATGTCTCCTTGGATCAAGCAGCTATTACCTCACTAATTAGAAATGATATCGCTGTATCTTATATTCACCAGATAAAATTAAAGAATGGCTATTAGCCACTGGTGATGAATTTGAGAACATAGAACACTGATAAAAAAGGCAAAATTTGTTGTGACCATTTTACACCAGAAATGATTGTGAAGTCTGAAAGGAGAACAAGAACAGAAAACATTTCTGATATAGAAATGGATGACCGCAGTGGTCCATCAGAGGTTGCTTCAATGCTAACTGAACAGCTGAAGGCAAGTCATCAATCTATGATCATGATTATTGTAGTGGAGATCCAGTATTCCACAGGTTATCTCCGCTTAAGATCCCAGTGAGGCTCAGGAACAAGTAATTATAAATCCATAAAGCAAGGTTTCCAGCAGGTAAAATAATCCAGCAACAGTGGCGTACTAAGGGGGGGTGGGGGGGGGGCGGTCCGCCCCGGGTGCAACCAGGGTGGGGGGTGCCATGACCAGCCCCGCCGC